GTGAACTCCTGAGGTGACCTGATCAGATCCTGATTTGAGCCTTTAACGCTCAGAGGATCAAGTGTTTGCTTGTTGCACCGCGTTGGAAACTGCAGACATTTGCCAAGAGGCTGCATGTCATTTTTCACATGACTTTCTGTTGACAGTTATTTTCATTTAGGAAAATGGTTTACATGTTTTCCATTCCAAGTCTCGTTCCAAGATGAAGAAATATTTTCACACTGAAAAATTTGCAGTATTTTCCTTGTAGCCTTTTTTCCTTCACAGTGAAGTTGTCTCATCTTGATAATGAACTTCTCTGGGAACTTAACTTGAAAGCCTCAAATTTCACTGGAACATCACTTCCTGTAAGATAAAGTTGGAATTTTTGTTGGAATTTTAAATTGGAATTTTCTATTCAATACATTTATGTTTGTATACGTGTGTGTGCACTGCAGAAAAAAGCCTAAATGATTCGGCTATAAGGAAAACTTGAGGGAGCTACTTGTCAAAGAGCATTAAATTAGCAGGAGTCTCATTGTCAGGAGAGAAATGCAGTTTATTGAAAGAAGCCTTTAGCTTATGTTCATTTAACATGTGGCCGTTATTTATGATAAAGATTGATGGACTTTGATGCTGACTGACCTCTGCCTTATTAAAGATTGACAAATTTTGGAGCTTACTATGTACAGATTATTTTAAGTATTTTTCTCCCATGTGCAATAGAAATGGGAACCTGTCCATGAGGAAACAAAAACCCTTTAGGGAGTGGCTGTTACAGACAGTTCCTCTGAGTTAAACCTCGTTTGAACTCGTTTTGAAAAAAAAAAAGGTTTCGCATGACTGGGGTTTCACGGATTGTTGAATGAGAATTGATTTAACTTCCTTCCTGTTAACTACTGAATGTTTATTTTGATAATTTCCGTATGACTTCAACACAAACTTTGTAAAGCAAAAGAAACAGAGAGATATTCCCCTTCGATATAAGAATATAGGAATAACAATTTAAAATGGCAGAAACTTTCTGCAGATCACGTACCTGATTTACCACATATGCATGCAAATATATACTCATTCAGCGGAAAAATTTGCAAATAGGAAAGAAATTTGAATTTTTTTATGCCTCATGAACTGTAAAACTTTTTAGTACTGCCTTTTATTACTTTTCGTGCACTGAAAAAACAAATATGTATGCAAAACCATCACTTTTAACTTTCCAAAAATATAAGAAAATATATTCTGACCTTCATTCAGGAGGGAAACCAATATAGGATCATTTCCGTATTTTATTCTCTTTTCTTTCTTAATTCATTAAAAATGTATTTTGCATTGTGGCTATTCCTAGTTTTATTAATTAAACGTAATTAGTGATGACACTAAAAAAAAGAATTAGCAGCACTTGGGGCCTGACTGGGCCCTGGCATCACACTTTCACGGGATTTGTTTGCTTTGCATTAAGCTTCCTTACAGTAAGCAATAAAGAAATGCCATCAGTCTCTTCTCCATGGGGCAGTCTGCATAAAGAGGGTGGCCATGTTTAACACAGAGCCATAATGGTGCCCGATGGGTGGAAGGCCTCCCCAGGGTCACCTCTCATTATGACACATTGGTAGATGTGCCAAAGCGGCTGGTTCCAGCTGCATCCCTCGGGATCCAGATGTTGGTCTGCTCAACAATGCATTCATTATTATTTAATCAGTTCCACGACATAAACACAACACGATACCTGGAGAAATGTCATGGATCTAGCTTTTATTCATTCAAGAAATATGTGCATTTTAAGCATTTAGAGCATGGTTTCAGAGGCACTGCAACATGAACCATGGTGCACAGACACAGTAACATTCATCACGGCTGATCAGAAAAGTCTTTCATGGCATCAAGCATTAAGAAATACTTCACTAGCTTATTCCCGGCAGTCCAGGCTTTTAGTTTTTAGTTTTTTTACAGTATGTGCAGCCA